CAAATGTTCACTAGAGCTCTCTCCACACACGACCACATCCTGTTGACTGCTGCCCAACGATATCACTTTCGGTCGTGCACACTCATCAGCCATATTTCTCGTGGATTGCTCTCGTTGTTCCTCGGACACTTCATCGTCAGCGAGTTGAAGATCACTCAGCCTGGTACCAGAGTTTTCTCTCAGTTGGTTGCTAGTTTGCACAGCGTCCGTCATTTCACTCATTTCCTGCTCTCCTAGTTCTGCATTCGTCACCTCAAGCATCCCCTCCGATTCTGTATCTTCATTATCTTGGCTTAAATCCACTTCCTGGTGCCGGTGTTGAGCTAATAAATCTGCATCATTCACCTCAGCAGCCCCCAATTCATGATCCAGTTCGAGTATGAGATTTTCGACCTCGCGATACATTCCACGTAGTCGCTTCACATGCTCCACTACTACTGGAGACGAGAAAAGTGACGCGCTCTTGCACATGCTCCTCGAGGCCCGAACGACGGTCAACGTGCGTTTCAACGCTTCGAGTCCAGGTTGCAGTTGCGTCTCCGCTTGTTGGAGCTCCTCCTGCACTGCTTTTAAGCATTTGGCGCGCAGTTCGTCCGCACCGAAGTGCGAGAGGATGATGTCCATTTTCGATCCACAATTCTACAACCAATTTTACAACCAAAACAAAAATGCTCCAAAAGTGTTATTTTTTTAGTGGACGCCTGAACGCGCGATGCAAGTACGGGTTTGATCGCTGCGTTGTCAGATGCTTGCTCCAAGAACGAGTTGCTAAGGATATATTTTCACCGGTACGATGCCGACTTTGACGGTGATGTTTGCTGTGTGGTTGCTGATTGTTGTTGTTGTTTTTCATGAACAGTGTTCGAGCTGAACTGGAGAGTCTCGTGTGCATGCCTCGCTCTGTTGCTGAGGCTTCTGTAAAGACCGTAGCTGCTGTTACAACCAGTGCCAAGTCGTTAAAGGATCAACTTCGGTGTTTCCAGGTACTGGCTCAACAGGCAAAGACCCGGCCCCCCATGAAAAGGTTAAACCCATAATCGAAGCGCTTGATGTGATACAACACGTTATGGCAAACGATTCTCTGGGTTCACATCAAGCTGAGGTGCACAGCTCTATTGAATTCGTACAAGGATGGAATCGTGAACTTCCATTACGGGATGGACTAGCCAATATGTATACGCGATTTGCGTACAGTTTTGCTGAGTATAGCAAGAAGTTTGACGGTGAAAACAACCAGGCTGGATGCCAAAGGTACGAGCGACTTATTCATTTGAAATCCCTAAAGACTACTCACCTCTCCGGTTGTGCTTGTATTTTATTCCAGGTTTGCTTTAGGTCGATTGATGTAAAGAGAAAGCAACCTCCAAAACATTTTCCATTACCGCTAACTATGTCAAAAGCGGCAAAAAAAAAAATGCAGAATCGGCTGAAGCTGCTAATTGCTGCAGTGGCTGCATGGAAGTTTTTCTTTAAGTCAACTGGAAAGGGTCATCAAGAGATTCCATGGTGTAGCTTCCCATGCGTCAATTGACTGGGATCCACTAGCGGACACCAACTGCCGCGTGTGTGTGGACAATTTAATTAGCTGCATCGATTTGGTCTAGGAGCACTCCCATCGTGAAAAGTTCCTGAAGGCTGTCAACAAATGGAAACGAAGATTGGCGTGATAGTTTGAGCTGCTAAAATGCATAATATAGCAGGTATTATCTGCTGCCTGCTCGTTCCGGTTTCGTCATAACCCGTGGATCTGGGGATTCTGAGAACACTTCTCAAGACTATTTGTCCCGATGTCGTCTCGCGAGCAAAGCTGTGTTTGATTAAAGGCATGTAAGAAACCGAAACGAGTTGCGCAGTTAAAATCATGATATCGTCAAGAGTTTTTATGTTAAAGTAAAATAAAAAGATGAAGCACTTCAAGCAATAGTTTTTGCACATATAGCTACATCCTCTCTAAGCCGATTTGTTTCAATTGGTGTCCACTCGTTGATGAGCATGGCATCGATGACCATCTTGTCGCTGTATGAGCGCATTCTGTCGCATGTGAATGCCTCGGAGCTTCGTCGCTCCTCCAACGCCATCCTCCAAGAGGAATACTCCGCTCTGGACAAGTCCGTGGGCGACGTCATTGCAACTTACGCCAAGGTGGAGGAAGTGCGCGATGCGGTGAACCAACTAGAACAGGGCAAAGCGTTAACCCGACGCAGCAATACGCTCCTGGAAGTAATGGACAGCACGCTGCAATTGCAACAGGAATTGCATAGTAAATTGACGGAACTGGCTGATGGAATGAAGGTGGGAGACGAGAATAAAATGGGTAAAAGGAAGCGGGACGAGAAGGAGCAGGAGGAGGATGCCTCTTCAAGTGATTCCTCATCGTCCTCGTCCAGTAGTAGCAGTGAAGACGACAGTGATGTTGATGAAGCAGAAGACTTGAGTAAACACAAAATGCAAAGAGTAGTGGGGCAATCAAAGCAGTCTAATGCCCGCAAGTCTGCTACTACAAGTGACAAGAAGGACAATTCCGATCTATCTCTAGCTCACGATACTCTCGCCTTTCTTTCGAAGATAAGGACGGTCGATCAGAAGATTGAATCGACGATAAAGAACCAGTGGGCGGAGACGCTGTTCAACCTTAAGCTGATACTCAATCGCCTGTCAAGTCGTTACGCTCACACAACAGACAAATCGACGGCTCAAGTCACTGCTCGCGCACTCGAAGCTGCCGTGGTGGCGTTCACAATGCTCGAATCGACACCTGAACTCGCGGAGGATGTGCGCGCTTTGTTTGCTGTATTGTCGGACGCTTGCTCCAAGAACGAGATGCTGAGATTTTACTTCCACCGGTACGGCGCAGACTTTTGACACTGGCGTGTGCTGTACGATTGCTGATTGTCGTTATTGTGTCTTATGGATAGAGCTCGAGCTGAATTAGAGAGTCTCGAGATGAATATCTCCCGCTCTATCTCAGAGTCGTCTGGAGAGGGTACCAGCGTGAGCGCCATGTCGCTGGATGACCAGCTTCTGTTTTTTCAAAATTTGGTCGAGAAAGTTAAGATTTTGCCAACACGCGAAAAGGCAAAACACATTATCGAAGCGCTCGATGTGATGCAGCATGCGATGGCCAATGATTCCCACTGCGCACGTCAAACAGAGGTGCGCTACTCCGCCGAAGTCGTGAAGAACTGGATTGGTGCAGTTCCATTCCAGGATGACCTGGGCAATGAATTTGAATCCTATGCGTTCAATCTTGCTCAGTATAGCAAAAAACTTAAAGGCAGCAGTAACCAGGTTGGATGGAAAAGGTACGTGCAAAATTTGCGACAAAAGCGGACTACAGCTAACTTCTACGGTTGCATTTGCTGCCAGACGTGCTGATAATCTGCTTATAAAGCTTAATGAGAAGAGAAAGCAGTCCACGGAGAAGTCTCATGCACCGCCAACGACGTCAAAAACGACAAGAAAAATGATGGATCGACTGAAGGCGATAATTACTCAAGTGGAGCAGTGGCAGGACGGCATTTTTGCTTTGAATCAACTGGACAAGGCCATCAAGGGATTTGGAGAAGTGATGTCGTACAAGTCGAAGGACTGGAATGCACTTGCAGATCCCAACTCCCGCGCGTGCATGGACAAGTTGGTTGGCTGCATTCAGTTTATCAAGAAACAAGCTCATCATGACAAGTATTTGAAGGCAGTCAACAAATGGAAGAGAAGTGTTGTCAAAAATTGATGATAGCGCTGGTTTTGAATCAGTAATGCTTCCACCAGCTAACATTCGTGAAAACAGCAATAAAGTGAACAACCATGATATCCAAGGTGGCGGACACGGCAAACTATAACAATCCACTCAAGTTTGGGGTATCTGGATGAATTCATTCAAGATACATGTTTTACATGTTAATAAAAAAAATACACTATGACTAGACCCCAAGTCTATCATCACTACTGAGTTACAATATTCTGGGCAATTGTGACGGTATATGCTGAGATTTTTTTTACACAAATGGGTACATCCTCTTTAAATCGATATGTTTCAATTGGTGTCCATTCATTGATGAGCATGGCGTCGATGACCACCTTGTCCCTGTCGGAGCGCATTCTGTACCACGTGAACGCCCCGGAGCTTCACCGAAGCTCGAACGTCGTCCTGCAAGAGGAATTCTCCGCTCTGGACGTATCCGTGAGCGATATCGTTGCTATTTTCGCGAAAGTGGAGGAAGTGCGAGATGCTATTAACCAACTGGAACAGAGCAAAGCGTCGACCGGACACAGCGATACGCTTTTGAAAGTGCTGGGCAGCACGCTGCAATTGCAGCAGGAACTGAACAACAAGTTGAAGGAACTGATGAGTGAAATGAAGGTGAAAGTGACGAAAGATGAGAATAACCCGAAGAAGAGGAAGCCGGACGAGAAGAAGCACGAGAAAGTACATCTTTAAGTAATTTCTCATCATCTTGGTCCAGTAGTAGCAGCGAAGACGACGACTGTGATGGCGAAGAAGAGGTGAATAAACAGGAGAAGCAGAAGCTAGCGGAGGGGTCGAAGCAGCCTAAACTGAGCGAATTTGTTGCTGCCAAAGGCAAAAGGGAGAGCGCAGATCTATCTCTAGCTCATGAGGCGCTCTCCTCTCTTTCGAATATGACGACGGACAACAATATACTCCAGTTTAAGGTGACGGATAAGTGGGCGGAGACGTTATTCAAACTCAAGTTAATACTCAATCGCCTGTCAAGTCGCAATGCAAACACGCCTGATAAACCGACAGCTGAAGTCACTTCCCGTGCACTTGAAGCTGCTGTGGTGGCATTGCGAAAGTTTGATTGGACCCCTGAACTCGCGGAGGAAGTACGGGGTTTGCTCGCTGCGTTGTCGGACGCTTGCTCCAAGAACGAGACACTGAGGGTTTATTTCCATCGGTACGATGTTGCTTCGTCGATGGTGTTTACTTTGTGGTAGCTGATTGTTATTCTTGTTTCTTACAGAGTTCGAGCTGAGCTGGAAAGTCTCGAGATGAACATGCCACAAGCAAAGCCTGTTACTATAATGAGTACTGAGTCATTGGATGTCCAGATTCTGCATTTCAAAAAGCTAGTTCAGAAGGTGCAAAAGCTGCCAAGAAGGGAAAAATCGAAATGCGCTATGGAAGCGATCGAGTTGATGCAACACGTAATGGCAATGGACCACAGCCGCACACACCGAACCGAGGTGCGCCGCGCTGCTAAAGCCGTGAAGTACTGGTTTTGCGCTGTCCCATTCCGGATTGAACTGGGCGACGTGTATGAATCTTTTACGAACAAGTTTGCTGGGTATTGCAAAAGCCTTAAAGGCAGCAAATACGAAGGGTACGAGCAAGGGTTCGATATGAAAGTAGACTTGAACAGATGTACAGCTAACTTCACCGGTTGTGCTTTTTGTCAGGGACGTTGATGGCATGCTGAGGGTGCTTGATACGAGGAGAAGGAAGTTCAAGACGCCTGCAAAAACAAAACGAAAGCAAGATCAGCTGAAGGCGATAATAGCCGATGTGGAGCAGTGGCAGGCTGACACTTTTTCTTCGAGTCAAATGGCTAGTGCAATCACGAGGTTCAGCTCTGTAGCTACTTACCAGGTAAAGGAATGGGATCCACTGGCAGACTCCAACTCCCGCTTGTGCGTGGACAAGTTAATCCGCTGCATCCACTTGATGCCACAAAGATCTCATCGCGACAAGTATCTGAAGACCTTGAACAAATGGAAGAAGAGCATTGACACGTATCAATAAAAGTGCGACGACAAACTCGAAATGGCGGAGAGTCTACCAAGTCTACTCATCTGCTCTGCTTTCATTGTTGACATGGATGGCTACGAAATGATTTGCCGTATAAGATACTTGGAACCTTATTGCTCAGCATCGTATCTTGTTTGTTCTTATACGAATACCGACCGTGCGCTTACGCACAAGAAGTGATATTTGCTGAGAATCAGCTAGGCGAGTTGTGGTCGTGTCAATAATCGGCAGTATCTTAACGACGCGTTTATCCGCATCCTTTGACTCTGACAAGACTATAATTTGTAAGCGAGCTTTGAATGTGGGGATTGCGTCAGAGTGTTGGTTCAGCGCTGAAGTCGAACCAATACGTTCTCCAATCTCCCACGACTCAATGGTTCGCCAAGTTAGGTCGCGTAATCCCGTTACAACCTTCACAAATGCTCCCTTTTAAAGCGATTCTTCAACCACTTTTTTTCTTCTTTATGGTGTCTACTCATAAACGACCCAAGGGATTGATAGCCATCATGTCGCCGTACGAGCGCATTCTGTCACACGTGAACGCCCCGGAGCTTCGCCGCACCTACCACGTCGTCCTGCAAGAGGAATACTCTGCTCTGGACAAAACTGTGAGCGATGCCATCGCAGCTCTCGTCAAAGTAGAGGTAGTGAGTGAAGCCATAAACCAACTTGAAGGCATAAACCAACTTGAACAAGGCAAAGCGCGCAGCGATACGCTCGGTGAAGTCATGGACAGCACGTTGCAATTGCAACAGGAATTGGAGAATAAATTGAGGGAACTGACAAGTGGAATGAAGACGGAGGTCTTGGAAGCAAGAAGAGACGAAACAGGAGAAGATAAAGAGGGACGAGATGGATGATAACAATAATGATTCTTCAAATAACGCATCATCGTCATCCAGTACCACCAACGGAGATGAAGTTGGTGACAGAGAAGAAGTGAATAAACACAAGAAGAGAAAGCTAGAGGTGGAGTCGAAGCAAGCAATGGATAAATTGACTGAATCTACTGCTGCTGGCGACGCGAAGCAAAGCGTGTATCTGTCTCTAGCTTACGAGGCTCTCACATCTTTGTCCAAGATAGTTGACAATAGACTCCAGTTTGAAAAGGAGGGTCAGTGGGCAAAGGCGCTGTCCAACCTCAAGCTGATCCTCATTCACCTGTCAAGTCATGATTCTCATGCAGCAGATAACCCCGCAGCGGAAGTCACTGCTCGTGCACTTGAAGTTACTGTGGCGGAGCTCAGAAATCTTGAAATGTCCCTTGAACTCGCCAAGGAAGTACGATCGTTGATCACTGCGATATCTGTCGCTTGCTCCAAGAACGAGGGCCTGAGGGTTATTTTTCACCGGTACGATATCGACTTCGAAGGTGGCGTTTGCTGCGTGGTTGCTAACTGCTGTTCACGTGTCTCACTAACAGTGTTCGAGCTGAACTGGAGAGTCTTAAGATGGATTTCCCTCGCTCTATTCACAGAGGCGTCAAGAAACAGAAGAGCTGGTCTTAGCGTGAGCGCTATGGCGTTAGATGACCAGCTCTTGTTTTTCCAAGATCTCGTTGTCAAGATTAAGACGTTGTCAGTCAGTGAAAAACCGACACAGATTGGCGAAGCTCTCAACGTGGTACAGCACACTATGGCAAATGACCCAAACTGCGCTCGCCAAGTCGAGGTGCGCAACTCTGCTAAAGTTGTTAAGTTCTGGATTAGTGGAGCTCGATGCGACAATGATCTGGGCGACGAATACGAAAAATATGCGTACAATTTTGCTGATTATGGCTACAAATCCAGCGACATCGACCACGCTGAATGGCAAAGGTACACGTAAGATTTTGAACTCAACGACTACTGCTAACTTGACCCGATTGTACGTATATGTAACTTTTTTTCGGTCAGACTTGTTGATAACCTGCTTTTACTTCTTACTAGTAGTAAAAAGAGAGAACAGTTCACGGCATAAACGACAAAGAAAATGCAGGATCGGCTGGAAGCCGTATTAGCTGAAGTGGAACAATGGCAGGATGGCATCTCTTCCTTGAAGCAACCGAAAAAGGCTATCCAGAGGTTTGGACAAGTGATATGCTACCAGTCAAAGGATTGGGATCCACTTGCGGACCCCAACTCACGTTTGTGTGTGTACAAGTTGATTCGCTGCATCCGCTTGGCCAAGAACAAAGTTCGACGCGGAAAGTATCTAAAGATCGTCAACAAGTGGAAGAAAATGATGGACGAACATCATTGAAAGCGTAAAGTCAAGCAGTTCAACTGAAAAAAGGTTCTTCATCTTACGAAGGTAAGAGTAATAACTTCGCGTTGGGTAAACTAATTTGCATTTCCTACGCACTCAGCCAGGATTAATTGTGTCAACACTGCTTCTCTTGTAGCAAATGGCTACACAAATACCAGTACCCTCTGTAAAGGGATATCCTTTCAACACTATTTGTTTCGGTTTAGCCACTTCTTCACAAGCATGCAGTTGATGACCAAAATCAGCGTTGTTAAAAACTCATCTTTTTACGGAAGAATGGGCGGGTTAATACCTTTTTACGGGTAGGTGGGTGGGTAAAAACAAGGAAGGTGTTAAACAATTTGACTGAAAAATCCAAACGACTGGTTCGTGAAGAAGTACCGTCGTGGCCAACGCTTATCATGAAGCTCGAAAGGAGGCATTTCTTCACTCACATCGGATTTTGATCCTATCCCCCAAACCTCCTCTCTCCAGCTGCAACCCCGGTCCACTACTATGAATTTTCTTTCGGCGCTATCTGCTATCTCCACTCCTTCTGGTTCCACGCTACTAAGTGTAGACCCTCCTTCTACTTCCCGCCGCTCTAGCCGACTTCAAGATTCCATCTGGGATGAAGTTCTCGTTGAGGACGGCATCGTTTCGGGTTCGAAATGCGCGAAGAAAATCCACACGTCGGGAAAGACTCACGTCGAACGGGTGCGCTACCACTTTACCAAGAAGTGTGTTAAACGTCTCTACACGCCGCTCATTACCTTGGTCTTCCGCCCTGCCATGAAACTAGCGAGGGTTCGCGAGTTCCAGAAGCTCTTCGCCATGTGGCTCTACTTGACTGGAATGGCGTTCAATGAGGCATCGCATCACTCTCTGGTTACCACACTGCGTCCCCTGACTTCATCTGATATTGTTCGGACGAGGCAGCAGTTGACCGGTAGCCTACTCGACGCCTGTTACGAAGAATTCAGCTCTAAAATGATGCTCAAGATCGCCAACAGACGCTGCACGGTGGTCACTGATTCGTGAACCAACACCAACGGTATGGCGGTTATCAACTACGTCTTGATCTTCGCAGTTATGACAGTGTTTCTCGAATCTCTGTGTACGGGATCAGATGTGCATGATGCAACATATCTAACTTCGGATATTCACGTAGCAACCTTCGAACGCATTGGCGGACGGTTTGCTGGACGACGCTTGCCAGCTGACAGAGGTGCCCAAGATAGTAAAAAAAAAATAGCGATAGTGACGGCTACGATACGAATTGCATCGTCCGTGGAGGCCAGATAGGTGAAGAAGCCTCCAATGGGGAAGCATTTGCTGTAAAGCCTCTGTGGGCAAAGCGTTACACAAACGCGGTGGTTTTTTTCCTCGTCGAGTGGGAAGCTATCCGGAATTACAGTGGATACCTCGAAAAGACTTTCGCGGCAAGCCATCGCTGATTTCGAGCGCGAGTACGCGGAATCCGTGTGGGATCACCAGTCTACTAGAGGTCACCCGTGGACGATGAAGCGTGAGCGAGCGACTCGGACCAGCCGTCGAATTCGCGGTAAGCATATACCTATGCGTCAATTATGTTCAATTACTAACGCATTTTTTTTTGGTATTCTAGCGCGTGTGCTGCCCTCAGACGCCAGTTAGCCTAGTGTACAGAGTTGCCAACCACAATCATCCATGTTAATACGGTTAACCTCTTCATTCCGTTATTTGACACTTTGGTGTGAGTGGGCGGGTTGCCCCATTATTCCAATATTCCATTACCAAAAAACCTTATTTACAATCCTGACCATCATGTCCCTGTCGGAGCGCATTTTGTCTCATGTGAACGCCTCACAGCTCCACCGAAGCACTAACGTCGTTCTGCAAGAGGAATTCTCCGCTTTGGATGAAGCTGTGGGCGACATAGTAGCGATTTTTGCCAATGTGGAAGAGGTGCGCGATGCTGTGCACCAACTAGAGCAGGGTAAAGTGTCCACCAGTTGCAGCTATACTGTACTGGAAGTAATGATAATACGTTGGAATTGCAACAGAAGCTACACAACAAATTGAAAGGCCGAACGAGCGGAATAAAGGTAGTGGCCGTGGAAGTTAAAGAAGAAAAGAAGAATAAAGTGAAGAGAAAGGGGGACAAGACGGATGATAGGAAAGATGATTCTTGAAATGACTCATCGTTCTCGACCAGTAGTGGCAACGACAATGATAATGATGATGTGGATGAAGACGTGAATAAACACAAGAAGTAGAATGTAGTGGAGGCTGCTGCTTGCGCGCGCTATAGCTCCCAACAAAGAAAAGCTGGCGAACCACTGGCGAACTACAGACGAGGGGGCGAGGAGCCGAAGCGATCTGAACTGACCGAATTTGCTACTACTGGTGACAAGAAGAAAAGCTGGGCACTGACACCTCGCTCGCGAGATTCTGAGCTCTCTTTCGAACATGACGACAGTCAATCCAAGGATTGATTTGGTGACGAAGAACTCGTGGGCGGAGACGCTGTCTAACCGCACGTTGGTACTCAATTGCTTATCAAGTCGTGATGCTCATACAACAGATAAACTGGAAGATGAAGTTACTGCTCACGCATTTGACGCTGCTGTGGTGAAGTTGAGAAAGGTTGAGTGGACGTCTGACTTTGCTAAGGTAGTATGGACTTTGATTGCTGCGTTGTCAAACCCTTGCTCTAAGAAAAAGAAGTTGAGAATTTCCTTTCATGAGTGCGACGTTGACCGTGGCACTGGTGTTTGCTGCTAGGTTGCTGATTGCTGTATTTGCTTCTTGTTGTAGGCGATGGCGGCATGAAAGACCAACCACGACCACGCAATACCGTGAGTGAAACTCTGTAGTTGAGCTATGGTAGCATGTGCTGATAGTTAGCCACTATGTAGTGGCTCAGCACGCAGTGAACTGCACATCAAGTGCTGTGGCTCCCGAGATGAGACCACGCACGCAGAAGATTGTCTACTGCACGTATTTGTTAACTCGGGCTGGTATACATCGTGGCAGAGAGCTACCAGGACGTTGCCTTGCAGGACGCTGTCACCTGGACGCTTGTGATAGCTAGGTTGAGCGGTTTGTCGGCGTGCATGTCTTTATAGTTCACTTTCGGTTTTACATCAAAGCCAGCAAGCGCAATGCAATTGGCAAGAGACTTACGGAAGTGCCAGCTTCCCCCGACTGTGTTCATGTTTTTTAAGTGTGACCTACTACACTTGTGTACAGAGTGCAAGCTGAACTGGAGAGTCTTGAGAGGATTTTTTCTCGCTCTATCGTAGAGGCTTGAAGACTGGGAAGAGCTGCTAGAGTCAGCACCATGTCGTTGGACGCCTAGATCATCCTGGAATGGAACTGCACCAATCCAGTACTTCACGACTTTAGAAGAGTAGCGCACTTCGGCACGACGAACACAGTTTGAATCATTTGCCATTGCGTACAGCATCGCATCGAGCGTTTGGCTGGTGTGTTTCGCCTTTCGCTGTTGATGAACTGATAACCTTGTCAACCAGTTCTTGGAAAAATACAATCTGGTCATATGTGAACAACTTTGCTGAGTTTGGTAAGAAAAAAAAAATATCGTCAGAAACGGTACGTACACCATTTCGAACAGTAAACGGACGGCAGCTAACTTGATTGATTGGTTTTCCTTGCCAGATTGGCTGATGATCTCCAAAAGTTGCTTGGTGAGAAGAGAAAGGTGTGGGCGAACTAGGCTCATTTATATAAAAACGACAAAGAATGCAGGATCGACTAAACGCGACAGTAGCTTAAGCGGAGCAGTGCCACATGTGTGTTCGCTAAGTCAACTGGAAAAGGGCATCAATAGTTTTCGAGAAGTATTGTCTTATGAGTCGAAGGATTGGAATCGAATTGCGGACTCTGACGCTCGCTTGTGTGTGGATGAGTTAAGTTGCTATACCCACTTGGTTCAAAAGAAAGTCTACTGCGAAAAGCACCTGGAGACTGTCAACAGGGCAAAGGTGGAAGAAAAACATCGATCTCCATCACAAGTGAACTTGTCTGCTGCAATACTACTTCACCTAGACTTCACCACCTTAAAAAGGAAGCAGAGCCAAGTCCTCTGTAGGAAGAGATAAACATGAAATACGTAGAAGATCATTTAACCACCACCAAATAGCAAAAGTACCAGTAGACAACACTGCGTAGTATTTGCATTTCTCTGTATTTATTGCCTCATACGTTGCTTCTTGCTCCTTCCTGGTGCACCCTTTGTTGCCAATGCATGCACTTATAATGACCTTGGTGTATCACATCTACCAAAGTTAACGTGGCATATCTGGTTCCACTGCATTACTGTCAATTGCAGCCGTAGTGTTCTTAGGTTACCGGCGCGCAACACTCACTCGTTTGATGCTCCTAGTCGAATGATGCTCCAGTCCTTTCCCGGCTGCTTGCATAAATCGCTTAATCAACAAGACGTGGTTTCTTTGAGGCATGTGCTTCGCTGTCCCCACAGCGACACTTGATGAGCTGGTCGTGCTTCCAGTCACACTCTCCGCAGGGCGCACAGATATTTGGCTTGCCGTGTCATACGAATTACGGTGACGACTGGACTTGCCATATTTACGTCGGTGTCTCGACATGAGTTTGGCTCGAGCTAGATCCTGTGACGCCACGTCGTCTTCGATGATCTCTTCGTCTTCATACTCAATCGCAGCGTCCTCAGATTTCCGCGGCGTCGCTGGACGGCTCGTATGGGGCGACAATGGCGTCTGTGGTCGGCTCGTATGAGGTGACATTGGAGTCGATGGACGGTTCATGCTGTGAGGTGACAGGCGAGTAGATGGTGGAGCTCTCGGAGACATCGGACGAGTGGGAGACACAATACGTGGCGATGTCACTGGATTTGCTTGAGCTGCTTGTGGCTCTGTCGCTCGGAGTCTACGAGGACTGGCAGAGGCTAATGGACTTGTAGGCGACAGAGGCGTACTTTTGCCACTAGGGCGAGGACTTGGAACGTGTCGAGAGTTGATGCTGCTCTCAGGAGAAGATGCTGGAGGACGAGCAGTACGTGGATGCTTAGGAGTAGTCGGGCGAGGAGATTTCTCATCAACTGAAGAGCAGGTAGACGGTCGGGTACCTCCAGATGTACTGCTGCCTTCAATACGACTGTCAAATGACGGCGTGGACTCTTGTTGCATCTCCTGGAACGAATGAGACACATGATGTCCTCGTGTAAACCTGTGAGACTCGATGAACTTCGGCAACATGATCAATCCGTTCTTCGATCGCTTCACATACTCGAGTTTCTGTCGATGACGCTCCTTCTTGTATTTCTCCGAGTGAGACCAGTGATCTCCGTCGTGCGTGTAATCTGGCGGTAAAATCTTCAGACAAAACTCCTGCAAGTCCAAATCATTGCTGTTGTCTGTGTCATATCGTTTAAAAAGTCCCAGACATTGAGCTGGTGTGAGTCGAAAGCCAAGAGCTAGAAGACGCTCTCGGAACTCGTCCATGGTAACGTGACTCGCCTTCTTAAAGATCTTGTACGCTTGACGGAACGTGTCTGAGCTACGGGACGTGGTCTGCATGATCTTGTCTCGAATGCGCATCTCGATCTCGTCTAGACTCCAGCTCTCCATCTCAATCTCGGTCATGTATTGATCAGGGTTCGCCAGTGCTTCTTCTTTCTTTTTCTTGGCTTCAATCCGATGCATCTCGTCTGCAGCGGCCACCCAGGAGATCCCCATATAGTCAGGAGGTAGCACGCCATGGATGAACTCATTCAGATCAATGTCTCCACTTCCATCCTTGTCAAAGCGACGGAAGAGGATATCAGACTGGACTCGTGTCAATGCTAAGCCAATGGCCTCAAGAGCTGCATGGAACTCGTGTGGCTTAATCCCGTTGACTTTCTTGAAGATCCGAAAGGCCTGTCGAAAGCAATCCGAAGAACGAGAAGTACGCTGCTCAATCTTCTCGCGTAACATCCGCTCAATGTCTGCAATAGTCCACGATTCTTGCACGGAAGCTACTGCCATCGAGTAGAGTTTTCGACGCGAATCTTCGACTTTCTGTCTGTCTTTAACCGACAACCAGAACGACGTGGAATTGTCATCCAGCATGACTCCTTGTACGAATTTATTCACGTCCAGATCTCCAGTCTTGTCAAAGTCAAATGTAGCGAACAGATCTTGTAATTGCTTGTTCGACACAGACAAACCGAGCTTTTTCATGGCAGTATTCAGGTCGCTGCGTGAGATTCCTGTAGGCTTACCGAACAGCATGAAGGCTTGTTGGAATCGGTCTGTTTCCTCCGAAAGTTGGTCCATTTTTTCCCTTATCGTCGCCACAAGCTGCTTGGTTGAAAGTGAAGGATCCTGGTCACTCTCAGATCTGGAAGACCTCGCACTACTCGGACGACTCGACCGATTTTCCTTTGAAAAAAGTGTAGTGACAAACTCAATCGTGTCGATCACGCCATCTCCGTCCTTGTCGAATCGCACGAAAAGTTCACGACATTTTGGCGGCGATAATTGAATCTGTAGCATTCCTAGATGACGATGGAAGTCTGCAAATGTAATTGTTTCTAGATTTGTAAAGAACTTGAAAGCTTGAGCAACCGGATCTGTACTTCCTCTAGGCATTTTTTCTTCCAGTTTGCGAGCGACGTACTTCTCGAGTTCATCCAACGCCATGTATTCGTACTTAGAAGCCGACGATCGAGGGCTTGACGACGCGTTATTACTCTTCGACGCTGACACTCGAGGTGACTTTATACCCGGTCGGTTTGTACGATCTCGAACAGTTGGAGAGTTCGTGGCTGCAATTGGAGGAGGCTCATCGGGCGAGAAGAAAGTTTCTGGTAGAAATACCCGCTGCGCGAACGTAGCATAGTCGATCTCTCCCAGGTCGAGCTGGTCGATGCGTCTAAACAGTTCATTGCACAGCCGTGGAGTAGCGTGCAGCCCGAGTCGCACGACCTTGTGGTGGAAACATTCTTGCGTGATGGTGTTGGTCGTCGTGAAGAAACGGAAGGCCTGACGCGAGTAGTTTTCGTACGCGCTGGAGCTTGGGATGCTCGGATCAACTGTGCAAAACATCGCGTGGATAACTTTGCGCAACTCCTTGATCAGCGCGTCGACCGTCGTGATCTTGGACGGCGGAACGGGGTCATTTTTCGGGACGAGACGAGGAATTCTACCCCCCGGTCGGGCAGGACGATTGGATCTTGTCTTGTCGAGAGTATAACCAGCACCGCTAAGGGCGAGGCTGCCCACAGGAGGCCCCTCCATATTCCAGAGAATAGACTTTTGTCGAAGCTGCGAAGGCGTTGCCACAATACCAAGTTAAACCTGCTCACACCAGCACGCCATCAGTGAAACGCCCACGCCCACTGCCATCAGTCTGGAGCATTAATAGCCACGATATTTTTTTTCATACGCGTCGGATACATCGACCATCGATATATTTAGTCAGGAAGAGAAATATTCGGCACTGCATTGTCAAAGTACTTGGCCACGCTGAGTGATGTGCGTTCATCAGAAACCCAGTCTGCGTTGTACTCAAGATGAAATTCTAGTAAGGATAAGTGAGCTGCACAATCTCGCGGATATTCGACTTGCAGTCACACTCTTCCCATACAGTTTCAGCTCGGAACACACTGTCGGCTTGTACGAGACCGACAAAGTGCTGCACACTGCCATTGGTGCCGAAGTAGTACTTCTTGGCTGCCACAAGTGCACGCGCGTTTGGAGAGCGGCGCAAATGCCGCTTGATCGTCTGCAAATATCACAGTTACTAAGTCATTTTCATGTATGAGTCTGGGAATTTACTGACGCACCTGGTACAATTCCACTGCCACAGTCTCTGTGTAGATGGTCTCAGCTGTCAAGATGAGGTCGAACTGCATTTGCTCCTCCGTCTGATGCTCCACGTCTTTCATGTATTGGGACATACTAGTCCATCCTCCAGCATAGAACTCGGCTTTATTGTACAGTTCCTGAGCGTTCCGGTGTACATTGGGGCATGTCGTGAGCTCCAGCACTTCCTTGTTGTAGTCACTGAATACGACGCGCTCTGCACCTCGCTGCAGCGCGTGGATGCCGGGTAATCCGTGCCCGCAGCCCAGTTCCAACACTGATGGAGGCATCTGAAGCTTCTCCTGACGGAGCTGCGTCTCTACGAACTTGACGAGGTCTACAGCGCACTCCCATAGTTTAAATCCACCCTCATATACGCCTGTTTCGACGTCAGATGTCGTTAAAATGGAGCTGATGGCGCCCGTACGGGCTTGGAAGTCTGCGTCCGAAGTATTGACGATCTCGAACGTCATGTCGCCCACCTGAACGGTGGAGAAGGCCGAAGGAGACGGAGACCACACGAATCTCTCGCCATTGCGCATGGGCACGCAGACATCCGAGGTGGACGGAGCTGCTGGGGCAGCAGGAGTGCCGTCCAGTGCGAAGTTGAACGCGAAGGACATGGCTACAAAATGTAATGGACTAAACGTGGACCTTTGAATAGTGATAAAGTGATCCTCTCTAGATAGTCATAATCATAACTTCTGAGCAAAATTGACTTGTGAAAAGAAATATTTTTTTTTAGCTTTTCCAATAAAAAACACTCTTTATTTACAACAAAAAAACTGTGAACGTTAGAAATGTTTCTGTCCATTTTCGATTTTCTTGATGGAAGCGATCTTGGCTCACTTCAGCGCCGCAGAGTTGCGCGTCAAATGCGTGACAGCAGTCTATGTTGAGCTACAGCGTGCCGAAAAGCAGCTACAGCCTGCGCTGGACGCGCTTAAACACGCGATTAGCGTAGTACAGACGTCCCGGAAGATGTACACAGATCCACTGGCTCTTGTGGATGAGTCTCCCGACATTTCTAAAGCTCTGGAGCTCCTTGTAGCTGCGTGCAACGAAATCGGAGTGTTAATCTGTGAGTTAAATCGGCAAGTGAGTAGTGCAGGGAGCGAAGACATGTCGCCTTCAGCCACAGATGATGAAGAAGAGATGACAGCGGAACCTAAGAAGAAGAAAGAGACTGAGACGGTGGAGAGGAAGAAAGCAGCCAAGGAAACAGCAGAGATACATACCAATATACCTGAATCTATTACAATTATTGACCTTCTATCGGACGAGGAGAAGGAGCAAATCAAAAACGAGAAGAATTCAAAGAGCGAGACTCAAGAGACCGTGGAACTACCGATGCCACCGGTTCATAATGACGATGCCACTGCGATAGTGGAGCCGGTTGTAGAAGACGAGCAGAATATTTTAAGTACAAGAAAGTCAAGGAAGAGAAAAGCACAAAGGAATAAGGCACCACCCCTATCAAAGAGAGCACAAGGCGTGGTGGTTCGACTAGAAAAGAGAGCAGAAATGGCTCCAACTGGACCAGTGGGGACTGCCGTGTGTACAGCGCTGGATGCAGCTATCGGTGTTGAGAGGTCGAGTGGAAATTCGTGTGTTGAAGCGTTTGTGGCCGCAACAGCCGAGGCTGGGAGAAAGCTAGTCGAAGTGCACGAAGAGCATCCGGTTCAAGCCGAACGCCACCTTGAAGACATGAGGTTATTGATGTCGGTCGCTGTCGATAACCTCAAGGGTGACCTGGCAGCTGGTGAAGTTAAGATGTCGTGGAAAATGCTCAAAATTCTACTACAGCTTCATGAGATTTATCCAGTCAAGACCAAAGGACTGCACCGGTACGTAAAACTGTGTGAGTTTCTGCCGTCAAGTCATTACTAACTTTTATATTCTAATGGCAGGAACTGTCTGCAACTTCAGAAGTTTCTTGTTAAGGAACATGTGGTGCCCACTGATGTGGTAACCGAATTTAAGGCTAAGCTGGATAAATTGTTCGTGGAAGTGGACGAGTGGATACCATTGGATGGCCTCACCACTAGGTGGTTTGACAAGCACATGAACCTGGTTAATGAATTGATAGAAGGCCGCTTCGAGGGGTGGAACCCGCGCACCGAGCCGATTCTTGGTAAAACAGTATCCAACCTCGAGAGGATATGTGGTTTTGGGGTTAGTGATGCGTGGAATGACCGCTACACCTCTATTTGCCTCGCGTGTAGCAAGATGTCTCGCTCCACATTCTTTTGGACAGTGGATTTATCGAGTGAGAGCACTACAGTTTTGATTAGGGACAACCGACTTGAGCCTGGATTTGGAGATGAAGACCGAGTGAAGAAGGATTTCGAGTATGTGATGAGCTACGCCCAGGAAGTACGGCGGGTAAGTGAACCTACCGAGAAGAAGAGTGCATTTGAGGAGCTTGTCGACAGGTTACGGTGGATATTCAACGCTGTGGCGATGACAAAAAATCAATCTTTATTGCCACTTGCTCGACTCAAGCGACTGAATGAGTGCTTTTGTACTCTTGTACGACTATGTGATAATGGCGATGCCCTCAACTTAGAGGGGTGCATTCACTTGGAGAGGTTGTTGGTCGTCATGCGCCAAGTGATGTATATTCGGGTAGACTACGTATCTGTGTCGAAACGGTATGTGCTTGGTGAAAGTTGATCTGATTCGGAAAGTAGATATTTAGTAGTCATCTTGTTATTTTGTGTATGTTCGTGCAGGGCAACAGATTCGCTGTTGAGTCTGTTTCCGCATGACAAGCGCACGCGGTTTGTGTACCCAGACGGATCCGGCCATGCTCCCTAATGTATGTGTTCGTTTGGGTAAGTTTGACGTTCCTTCCCATTTCGTAGTGGTCTAGTTAAATATCACCCCAAATACTGATAAACAATTTTTCAAATTAGTCTTGTTGATTCGCATCAAAATCTACCCCCTCTACGCTCGAGTATGCCGTCCGATACTGCTGTAAATCGCTGTTTGAGATCGTAGCACACGTTGGGCATCTTGACGGCATAATGGCGGATGAAGTGTTGGCAAGTATTGACAAAACGGTTGAACTTGCATTGTCTGTTCTCGCTCCCTCTGAAGCCCTTAACAAATTTTACATTCGGCTGTGCTCAGGGGGAAGTTGAGGAAATGGGAGACAGGCAGTTGTCAAACTAGAGTGCATATCGCTAACTTGGCTGGTGCAGCGAGCAACGACTCATCGTAAACGACTGTGAAAGAGTCTCAACCATCCCAAACACAGTGAAACTGAGTCTCCACGTCATTGACAGTGTGCATTACTTGGGGATACTGCCCGAGTTCTTCGCCTTCGCTTTCTTTTTCGGTTGTCTTTCTCGTTTCAGATCGTATTTCGGAGCTAGGTCATTCTCTATCCTTATTGCAAGGTTGTTCCAGCGCGCTTTTAACATTTTGTTCGACTTTCGCTTGGGGATTTTTTTCGCCGGTTGTCCGTGTAATCATTGTTTTCAGCTCGTCTATGCAACCCTGTATGGAAGCGTCCTTACGTGGATCCCACCCGAGTGCTACGTGATTCACCAAAGCTGCTACTGCGTCAAACAGTTTATCGACTTTCCTGATAGGCACAGGTTTGTCCCGCCATTGTTTCACTTCTGCAAACGTTTTCACTGCACGATCACAAATTTCTGCCAAGTATCTGTGCGCTTTCGAACTCGCCGGATCTGCGATAACTTCAGACATTCTCCACCAGCCTGCAGCACAAAGTACGTTAAACCAGTTGGTTTGATTGGTAGTCACACAAAAGTCAGGAGCAGATGGCGCTTACTCAATAACAGAATTTCTAGTAGGTCCCGGAAGGCGATTCACGACATGCCGTGTAGCGTCGAAAAGCATTCCATAGATCACGAGTTGCCGAGGCTCACGAGGACGTTCGCACAGCCATTTCGATACGCAAATGAGGGGCTTTAGAATGTGCTTTGCAGGGGCGTCTTGTACTTTGCAGGCAGCTTTTTTCTTGAAAGCAACAAGCACGTCAAGAAGCCAGTGTTCTCGCCGAGCATCCCCGTTGATTGAGGCCACCAACTGCGAAAACAAAGTCGCGTGTTGGCTGTTTCCATTTGTCGCTGCTGTTTTAGCTCCTGACGCTGACAACCCGCCAAGATTATAAATCGCGGGGCTTAGAGTATCTAAAAGGCTAATTTCAACCAGAAAGAAGTATTGCTCGTCAGTATTAAGTAGGAGGTATCAGAGTGACAGCTTTGCACGTACCTTTGGAGCTCTTGTTGCTCCTTTGATCTTGAAAGTCTATTTACATACGACTCGACCGCTGCTTTATAGTCACGATACAATTTTAGGTGCTCGAACTGCTCTTCACTTTCGCTAGCCCACCATCCAACTAAAATACTCAACGAATTTGCCACTTCCGACCGACATGATCCAGTGCTATCTTCTTCCACTGAACGTTTCAGTGCAATCAATACGTCTGGTATAACAAACGCTCGGTCCTCTGCAGATAACTTGTCCACGTCCTCCATAATTAAATTCGCTGCATTTGACGAAGTAGTTTCGCTTGTTTCTTCTTGTCAACCACTGCACTCCGTTTCCCGGGCGAAGGTACTTTATCCTCTACGGCGTTTTCCATTAAAGCTTTCCAAGCGGCTTCGCTGCCTTCAACGTCATCATCACTGTCACTGTCACTTTCCCATTCGGACGTTGAGCTAGTCTCAACAGTGGAGTCCATGACAGGCTTTATCTCTGTTGTTGCAACTCGCTTTAACACGGTAGGCTGCACTATGTTAATGCTACGAGCTCGTTCTTTGATCAACTCTCTATCATGCGCGTGTCCTGTCATCTGGCGCCCTTGTTCATCATCCTCGTCTCGTTTTCTTTTCCGTTCCAACACGTTTATAGGGACGCTAGATACGAGTTTGTCAATTCTTTGCTGGAGGTCTCGCTGAACCATCAGTGTATTGGCTATTGCAGCTATTAATGTAGCGCTGCGTCCACCAGTTGAGTCATGACCCTCCTCAAACTTCGCAATAACACCGCGGACCTCCTCCAGCTTGGTGAAAGCTGTTACAACATCACCCACTGCTGCATTTGCCGATGCAAGTTCCTCTTGGAGTACAGCGTTGTAGCTCTGATGTAGCTGCTGCGCTGGCACGTGCGTTAACACGCGCTCATACAGCCTTTCCATCCAGTCGCTGCGAGTGAAAATGGTACCAAAAGTTGCTGTGTCTAAATTTGGTCAGTGCAAATACCCTTTTTGCCCGTATTTGGACACCAGATTTAAAATTTTTTTTAATAAATAACAGAAACAAATATTTACGTTCACCGATGGGATGAATTAATATCACTTATCTCGGAGCGCTTTAACACACACACCTAAGGTGTGACACCTTCCATTGTTCTTGTTCTCCTCAAATACCATATCACCATCTAATCGAGCTTGTCGGTAACATTGAGCGCTGGGTTAATTCTCACCTTCCATTGTTCTTGTTCTCTTCGTACATCACGTCACCATCTAATCGAGGTTGCCGATGCCAAAGTTGCCAGTGGTCTGAGCCCAAACCTTGTCAATATCGCTCGCTTGGGTCCACTGCTGCTCCGACTGGCTGTGTTTCACCGGTGAGTAGTTAGTGATCGCTGAATATGGCTTCATCGCCTCGAGAGCCGCTGTACCATTGCGTGAAGTGAAGTTACCGCTGTTTACCAGAATGTTTTCTTCGCATGGGCGACCCAGATACTCCATACACTCATCCACTCCGGTGGCAGCGTAGAGAAAGCCTTGTCCTTTTCTGTATAGAGGATTCTTCACACTGTTAAAATAGTTGCCTTCGGCAAGCATCCACGCATTGCCATCGAGCTCGAAAGAGTGGTTGGCGATGTTGTCCCAGTAATTGTTGGCGACGTGTGCGATAACGGAGGAATTCTTGTCGCCAACCTTAGGGGATCGCCCTGCAGTCGAGTGGACGTAATTGTTGAGCAGACTGACACCTACTTTCTTGCCGTAGAGCAGGATGGTCCAGTAGTGGCGTCCATTGCAGGAGGCCGAGTAGTCTGTCTCTCCGTCAAAGTCCGAATTACTTACTGTCAAAGTGGCGACACCGGCCTTGTTCACGACGAGCATTTGACGTCCCACACGGGAAACCTTGACGTGATCAATCCAAATATTGTTCATCGTCCTGGTAGCGTTCATCGTTCCTTCCATGAAGAGTGCATCGCCACCCCAGACGAGATGGCGGTTCAGCTCGGTGATGTGGATGTTTTGGACGATGATGTTGTCGCCTTTGAGTGTCATCCCCTTGCCCATGATGACTCCACGTCTGCCAATACCACGAATGGTCTTATGGCTGGTGACGTTCATGCGCCACCGAAAAGCGTTATCGTATGTCACTATTGTCTCCGTGCCGTTCGTGCAGCCACCCGTGTTGTTCATTCCATTTGTGAGGATAACATCTTGACTCTTGAAACCAGTATTGGCGGCGATGCAATTGCGGGCTCCCTGAGGGCGACAGCCGATCTCGGTTGTCGTACCTTCAGTACCGCGAAAGTCGAAGGTCTTGTTCAGCACGACGACGAGCGGTTCCGACGCGTTCAGATAACCCATCAATTCTTCGATTGTGTTCGGGTACACGACGGTGCCATTGGCTCCACCCGTTGTTCCAGCGGCTAAGCCCGGAGGTGAACCAACAGTAAAAGCACTCGCGCCAGTGACTAGTACAGTCAATGCTGCGGCGATAGCGAGTTGGAGACGTCCCATGCTCCCTGCACTATGGAAGTTGATTTGTGATCCGGTAGAGTCGTATTTGAGAATGACGACGTTGTTGGGCTGTTGGAACAAATGCGTGAGGTATACGCGAGGAAATCACGTCAACAGCAGCGCCGTAAATATTACGACACTATTTAACATGTCGCGATACGCGATGATCCAAAATCGCGATGGGGTTCAAGCATTTACGGACTGGGGAAACTCTATGAAGCTCGACTTTTCGGACATCATTTGTACAAAAAATAATAGTAAGAACTCGCAGTATTTGAAAAAAAAAAAAAAAAAAGCGTCCAGGTTCCATTGAATTGCAATCCAAATCGGTCAGTATGCATTACTGCAGGTGAAGTGCAAGCTCCTATGGCTAGAGTTCGGTCTGTACTGTTTAAGTAAGCGTAGTAACATCGAGGTGCCTCAAGTCGTCCCATGAGATCGTCGACGGATACACCAGCTGAGCCGTTTCTTGCACAGAACTCTTCTCCTTGATCTCGTAGACGAAGATGTTGGTAAACCGTACACGCGTCACCTTCATCACAAGCAGTGGCAAAAGGTCTTGAGCCCCGATGAGGAACATTCCATTAACGACCAGAAAGCCGTTGCCATAGACCGCGTCGATAGTCGCCGAGAGACTGTTCTCGCGTACAATGTAGTTTTCATAGCCCGAGATGACTCCGTAGCGCTTGCTTAGTCCTGCGCCCGTAGCTGACTCGAACGACGTAAGATCGCTCTGCTGTGATCCCTCCGTGTAAACACCTGCCCTCCGATGGGAAACGTCCTTAGTGCTCACCGGAGTGTTCACGTACCGGACCGCTTTTCGAGCGACAACATAGGCCGCAATGAGTGCGATCGGGCTAAAGATCGAGATCACAGTCGACGAGACGGCAGCGTGTCGTCTCTCCACTACTTCATATGCTGTCATCAGCTCCATCGGTGATAACCCAGCCAAACCGGGGCTTACGCTCAGCAGCCCATTAGTTGCGTCGGCTATTGCAAATCCCACGATATTCTTCTTCAATCCAGGATAAAGTTCGGACAACTCGACACGGTATCCCCAGCCAATCTCGAATGTTGCGAATACGAGCAGCGGATCGACTCGTTCGCGTGCGAGATAGCTTAAAAAACTTGCAACATTCAAGAAAATAGATAGTAGATCCGCGTGTACGAGCTCTGGACGGTAGTAGATTGCGTGTAAACCAGTTATTGAGTCTCCAACCGAGATACACATCTTGGTGACAGTCCAGTATCCGTTCATGTGGTTGCATATTATGACGAGTATGCCTCGATACAAGAGCATGTTGGAGATCGTACTGAACGCGTCCCCCACCCAGATGTGGCCCTTGCAGATACGTCGATACATCACGAAAGACAGCACACTTAGATTAAAGATGACGTTGATCGCGAAAACGCCATGGATTGCGTGCGTCCAGGCCCACGAGTCATGAAGCACGGTTCGACTGTGCCACAACCAACTTCCAAGCTCCGTCACAGGATCACTTGGTAGATCCCAATGCGCCATCTCAATGTTTGACTGTGCTGTTGGATCACTAAGATAGCGCCCAAATCGACGTCCCGTGCGTACAGATTTTGCGGGGTCTTGTGTCCGAGGGTTTGCTAGAGTGTCAAGTTCCCAGTAATTATCACCGTTGATCCCCTTTAGCTCCGAGTATGTAAATGCTGGTTCGGCTACGTAAGGATAATTGAACGCGACTGCGATGTGGTGGGTTATCGTCGTGGCTCGGACATCATCGATAGCTGCAACAAGAAGTAGTGTAGCAGGTCCTCTCTGAAATTGTTTGTCAACCTCGTAATCTTGAACCGACAGGGATGTTGATAGTAGCATCACGCCCGTTGTGTTGCTTTCACGTCGTACAAGATAATATACGCGAGCAGCAGTTCTGTCTCCATTCGTTAGCAATTCGAACGTACAGTCGATCACTGGTGCGATCAATTCCAGGTCCGCCACGTAAGATAAATTGTGCGACGCATGTGCCTGTAGTCTGGAAAATATAAAGCGCAGGAACTCGTTGCTGTAGATTTCAGCGTTAAAGTTCGTCACGTTTGAACACCCAGTGGACGATTGAGTCGTAGCTGTCTCCAGGTAGAGTGAGGTGGTAAGAGGACTGGTTGATCCTTTGAGTACTTGCTGGACCAGAGGACTAGCTTCGATCGTTGAAGTGCCAACGTAGTCAATTATGAGGTTGGCCTTGAACGTTTGGATAGGCAAGTCGTGCGACACAGAACCGTGGAGAATGATCATTGCGGTCGAAAACGAGCTGAGTGATATCTCAACGTAGAGAATGGCGAGAGCAAACACTGCAACTCGGTGTATCAGACGAATGAAGCGCATGAGTGGACTGCCTTCAGGTTGTTGCAGGATTTTATCCACAGAGTTCAACCCTCTTTGGGACTTGCTGGGTCGTAGTTTGGGCGGACCTTCAGAAAAGTCGCTGAATTCTTGCTCTCCCATTTGGCTTGAACTCGTTCAAATGCTAAGCAGCCCGCTCGAAGACAAAATGAGGCACCAGGACAACGTATCACTGCTTTCTCTCGGCACCTTACGCAAAGACGCACCAATAGTGGTACAGATGCCCCAAATCTGTCATGGGTATAAGAGCAGAGACAAATTGAGGTGGCTATTCTTATGCTTCTCTTCATAATTCAGACTGTCACTAGATATAGCTATTTCTGGTTCACAGTAAACGTGTACTGTTTTGTTAATCTTGCTCTCAAAATTGCAGAATCACAATGAACGATTGCAAAGTAACAAGTTACTACATGTAAAAAAAAGATCTGCAGACGCTTAATGAAAAAAGGACACCCACGCTTGATTATGGTGGTGGTGGAATGGTACATACACTTAAAGAATGAAGCGAGCTGTTGGGATTGATCATCTCGTCGAGACGAGACTACGTGTCTACAGGAAGCACATAATCGTCGATGGACGTGCCTCTCAACGACGCTCATGCTAGTTGAAACACCCACTTCACAATTTGCTCTCTCGCTCCTAATCTCGAATAACCAGCGTATATTCATGCATCTACTTTGGGTCTTCTTGGCCATGGGAGCTTCTTTCATGGCTTCCAGCGAGGCCCTCGCAAATGCAAACCAATCCGACCAGCGACAACTAAGGACTCATCATGCTCACCACCCGACCGAGATTGATTCCGAAGAAAGAGGCATCTCAACTGAGAAAATGAGAGAGTTAGATTGTCTAGTTGGCATGGACGTAAATCAAATTGATGATCTAGTGTATAAGAAAAATCTCTTCAAGGTAAAGATGTCCAGTCACACCATCGATAATAAGGCGATCCGCTCGGATTGGGGCTCAGATGAGAAAGGAACGTACAGTATACCCGCAAGCTGCACAACGCACTGCTGTCGCTGAAATAAGCTTCACGTGCCCATTAGGTGAAAATAGCATGAAATAACAGGTGCCATTTGGCGGAACATGAAATCCCTTAAACATGTTCTCAGTTTTCGTTGCTCTATCCAAGACGACGCACATGCCGCTGACCTAGACGGGAACGTCCCCACGGCGTTTGTGCCGTTAACTTCCGTGCTACAGAGCCAACGAGACCTTAAAGCGAGGCTGATAAGCTTCTGTCCGCTGTATCCACTTTGCCGCTGTGTTGCAGCTTGTCTTACTACTCGTTCTATGTGTAGGTATGCCAGGAAACACAAAGCTATGCTAAGTCCTCTAAGGTCCCTCTATCCCCTGAGGACTATTGTGTTATCGTGGATTGACTTGAGGTCAAGAACACGGATGAGAAATAAAAGCTGAAGCCACATCGGGGCTGGTGGGCATTGGCTGTCGTTGGCAAACACGCGATGACTTCCTATCAAGTCACAAATGAACTCAAATGACTCTCTTGTAGTGCGTGGGAGGCTCCAAACCTTCTCATCATCTAAATTTTGAAAGAATTCTCTTGCATTTCTCGACTTCTCGCCCGATTCACTCTCCGCCTCCAGTAGCGCCCCGATTGAAGTTGCACCAGGACTTTGTATAGCTCCTCCACGGTTGATTCGACAGGGATGCACTCAAACCAGTCAACAAACGGAGAGCATCCACCGAGGTCTTCATCAAATTCTTCCTCAAGGATGACGAGAAAGAGGGGATCAACGACCTCATCCATAAGCGCCTGTCGATCACTGACCTTAGGCATTTCGAGGGTGTGACTTTTCGAACGATCGCCGAGCTCGAAGATTTCCCGCGCAACTCTGACCCGCCCCTTTAAAAATTCAAATCAAATATCATGCTTTTTGCCGGAAAATCATATGTGATATGGGGCAAAAGGGGGAGTCGATCTAGAGCACATATCTCGTACTTAACGATACGATATTCCCCCCCTTTTCAGTTGTTGACGGTCACCATACCGAAGCTAAGCGAACGCCCAGTTTCTGCGAGAGATCACGGGGCTGCTTACTGTATTTGCGCTAGAGGAAGAAGATGAAGATGAAGCTGCAGCTGTAACTACGTCAAAGCCTTAAACGCGTTGATCTTTTTTACTTTCGGTTTGCCACTGATCGTGGTCTTATCGCTCGAGCCGTGGATGGCGGCAAAATTGTCAGCGACCTCCATCCAAGTCACAATGATCCCGTAGTCGTCTTGCGCAAGATGGACATTTCGATTCAATCCATCCTCTAACTCGACCATCCTGCCACTATCGATACCATTCGCAAACAAAATAGGTCAGATAAGCATCGTAGACAGGTTTGAGTGGTAAGCGTACCTGAGTATCACAAAATGTGGTGGTCGCCCTCGCCACGATGCCAGCATCCTTGGCTGCCAACCACTGGCTGC